CATACAATCGGAAGCGACGCCGCCCCTACCACTAGGGTTTCTCCACCATTCGCCGTGCGTATACTCTGCCCAGAAATATGCAAGATTTTCTTCTCATTGCCTTTCAGAAGCTCTATTGCGTTCTTCCCGAGGCAACTAGCACACGCTCTGGAATCTAATAGGGCTAACACTTCGTGGCGCCGATGCTCATCTTTGCAAAAAAACGATTATCGCCTTGCATCGTAATTATAGTTGCTATTATCTTCCGCTGAATCCGCTTAAGATTTCTTTGTTTTTCTCGCATCTCTTGTATTTTTTTGAAATTTGGTTTTTTTTCGTTTTACTTCCAATGTTTCCATAAATATGCGCCTCCGCGCCTCTTCGTATTTCATCTTCCTGAGATGTAAATTTTCCCCTACATCCTTGACTTCCCTTCCTCTGACCACCTCACCATTTTTATTCATATTGCTGTCTCGCTTCAAAATTCTAATTTCCTGCTCTTAATTCAGTTCAATTCCATCGCGTCCGGGAGATTCAAACTCTGGCCAGAGAGCCCGGTCATCTCTGCCAGTGCCCGGTTTCCCGCCTCAGGTTTGAATACACAAAAGGACGCGTCACCTCCACAAGCAAAACATTTCATGCAATGGAAGGAAGATTTACATTTAGTGTCATTTGCCGCTTCCGCCGGATTCTTGGTATAGTAATCCATCAGCATTCCGCATGCAAAACACAACATGAGGTGGAATGGGGACGGACAGAACGTTTGATTGGGGACACTACCACTAGTAATAACACTAGACGCTTTACTAGGATTGGGATTAAAGGAAGACGACATGGGTCTCGACACTTCACGATGATTGGCGGTACCAGGCATAGGCTTATGCGAAGCTACAAGCTTTGTATTCTCTCGGCCTAATGCATCTATTTCTACTTCCCCTTACGGATTCCATGCTGTAAACCAGTCTTTTTCATTTATTTCACTCACCACTTTCCCAATGGACCTGTTTTCCCTAATCAACTTTTCTGCCCGCTTACATTCATGCTTTAACTCCGCCAATGTTTCCATTCTTGTGGCGAAGGTAAGGTTGGCTAAATAAGGTTTGAGATTCCCTTTGATGATCTTCACCAGCTCTTTCTCCGGGATCTTCTCCCTGAGACGAAATGTCAGGTCATGGACGTCTGCATAAAAATCATCAAAGCTTTCTTGTGGATACTGTTTTCTTTCCATGATTTCGCGGATTACCTCATAGTCTGATTCCGCCGATCTAAATTGTGCTATAAGTTTAGTTTTAAGCCCAAAATATCCAAAGTTACTGTCGTCCGCATGGTCTTCCAACACCTGCCAATACCATTTTAATGCCTGCCCAGTGACCAAACAGTGGAAGTCTGTGAACAACTGCTCATACGACAACTGATGCTGTATTCGCATCCTCTCCAGTCGGAAAACAAAACCTTCAACCGTCATGCTTTTGGATGTACCGTCAAATTTCAGATGCCACTTATCTAGATCTACCTTCTTTCGTGTCCTGCCTCTGTCAGCCTGTTGTTCTTCTTGACTTCCGCTGTAAGAGTTCCCGTCATTTTCTCTCCTATCGGGGTTATCGGGAGTTGATGTCGACAATGGAGGCAGTGATGCGGCTGGTGACTGCATCGAAGTGTCCACGTCAGCAACCCTGTTGCTTAGATGTGACATGTCGGTCCTCATCTTTCGCACTTCCGTCATGCATTCGGCCATCACAACATTCTGCTGCATCATCATGGCCATCATCTGTCCCAGTCGGTCCATGCGATCAGAGGTTGGCGCAGCTGTAGCTCCGGTGCCCCCTGCCTCTGCTTCTGCGGTATTATGCATCATTCGATTCTCAGCCCCCATATTGGGTCCCTCAGGCAACCCTTCGCCCCGTAACGGCTCAGACATCTCCAGTGCCCTCTCCAATTTCCTGGAGAAGCTTAATGAACTATCGCTTGTGTTGGCCACTAACTTGTCGGCCGCGTTCACCTCCTCTCTCTGCTTCACTCGCGCGTTTAAGTGGCCAAATACCCTAGCCGTGCAACAGTTAAAAAAATCAGTGGGTAAAAAGTCAACGGGTCGTTCGATTCCGGTATCAATCTGTGTGAACAAGGAACCTACCACCTGATTCTTCAACGCTCTTGACACACTTCGCGTTACTGGTCTTTCGCTAGTAAAAATTCCTAAACCGGGCCTTGGTATTTCTTGCGCGTTATTGGAGTTCTCCATTCACCACAAAAATGCGAAAAAAATATATATATGTGAGACACAAGTAAAACAGGTTTAGTTCTTAGTAACTAATAATGTTTCTTTGTTTTAAACTATTTGTTAAAACATAGGTATAGCTAGATGCGATTCGTTTGAAGGTAAAATGGCAACTCCTTTCGGTTTTCAAACAAGTAAGCGTCATGTCTTTTTCGTCAAGTTGTGGTATGTATGTATATAAGGTCCGTAGGGTTGCAATTTAAAGTATCTAATAGGTTCGCCCACTTCTTGTCGTTCGTCCGCGTGTCATTCCCATATTCGACCGTCCTGATATATCGTTCGATCCGAACGATGGGTTCCAAGCCTTCATATGTTCGGCTACTGTTGTTGTCTTATGGGGGCCCTCATGGTCACCAACTTTCTCAACTACATACCTCCCGTGTGGTAGTCGTTGTTGTACAGCATACGGTCCGAGAAACTTAGCTTTAATTTTTAGTCCACCACCATATTGCGTTATTTTTATTGCTACTAAGTCACCTGTGTTGTATTCAGTCTCTTGTTTGCGCTTGGTATCAAACGAACGCCTAATCTCTTGCTGTATTTTTGAGATATTTTCTATAGCTTGTTTCCTAACATCTTCCCGTACGATTTGTAGTTCTTCAATCAATGAGTCGTCTAATAAGTTACGCAGTTCTATGTTTTCAGATGTACGCATGTCTAGTCCAGTCAGTATCTTAAAGGGTGTAAAGCTATTACTCCTTGTTGGCGTGTTATTAATAAGAAGTTGGACTTTTCCACGTACTTATACCAGTTGGCCGGACTATTGTGGCATACTTTCGTAAGTAGAGGTATGATAATACGATGCATATGTTCCACTTGTCCGTTGCCACGAGGAACACCTGTTGCAATTAAGAGATGTTGAATTTTTTCTCTGTCGCAATACTCGTCAAAACTTTTGGCTGTAAAAGCTGTACCCCTATCGATTATTACCCGTCGAGGGTTACCAAATACTGAAGCCTGTCTCTCAAGTCGATCTATAACAGAAGCGGAATCAGTACTTCTGGTAGGATATAACCAGACAAATTTTCTGAACCCGTCTACTACGACGAGGGAATGATTGTAATTCTTGTGTGTCAATTCCATTGGGCCTACGTGGTCGAGATGATATGTCACAAGAGGCCTGTCTTCCTTGTCAATAGGAGAGAGCAACCCTTCCTTTTTGCCTACCTTTGCTTCTGCAATAATGCACTCGATACAACTTTTAACTATTCTTACTACTTTAGGTCCAATTTGTGGTAAATAAAATGATTTCTCGATGTAATCTTGAGTCTTTTTAGTCTTTTTAGCCCCTGGCGATGTGCCGTACCAATAACTTCTTCTTTCATTGCTTGTGGAACGACTACCAGCTCATTTACTGGATCCTTGTATAAAATGCCATTTTTCATGTAAAAATCTTCATACGTGTTATTTTCGAGAACTTTAGAAATTGCTTTCACCCAGTCATCTCTTTGTTGTGCCTCTTTTAAGCGAAAACTTAAAGAGTCTTCTAGCAACATACACGTCATTCGACTTAGCGCGTCAACATGCTTCATCTTCGTCGCTGGTCTATGCTCGATTACGTAGTCGAAATTTCGGAGGTACATAGCCCAACGAGCAACTCTAAGGGGAACCTCTTTTTTCTTCATGGTCAAAGCGAAAGCGTTACAATCGCTAACAATCTTTATCTTTTTCCCAATAACGTATATTCGACATTTTTTCAACGCCTCTATAATCGCTAGAACCTCTAACTCATATGAGTAGTACCTTTGTTCTTCAGGCCTAGTCTTTCGGCTCATATACTGTATGGGGTGGAATTGTTGGTCATCTATGTCTTTCTGAAGAAGTACTCACCCATAGCCATACATACAAGCGTCTGTATGTATCTCTGTTTCAAGGTAGGGATTGTATTCTTTTAAAACTGGAGCTCTGACAAGCGCAGACTTTAGTTGCTGAAATGCTAATGGCTGTTCCTCATTGAATCTTAATTCAGTGTTTTTTCTGAGTAAGTCGCGAAATGGCTTCGCAATTACCGCATACCCTTCTAAAAATCGTCTAAAATAAGAAGTCAGACCTAAGAACCTTTGAAGCGATTTCTTGTCACGTGGTAACGGAAACATGTTTACAGCCTTGACCTTCTCTTCTGATGGTTTTATGCCCCCCTCTTCAATAATGTAACCAATAAATTGTATTTTTCGCATTAAAAACTGACACTTTTGCCACTTAATATTTAACCCGTAACCTTCCGCTCTACCCAAACAATTTTAAGTTTTTCTAATCCATCCTCCTCATCCTCGCCCGGAATAATTATGTCGTCCATAAATACCACAATGACTCCATCCTGAACTAAATCACGGAAGATAGCTGAGATGTACCGACAGAAAACGGCTGGTGAATTAGAAATTCCAAAAGGTACAAAGTTAAATTCAAACTGGCCACTGTGTATAACAAAAGATGTTTATGGCTTGGAGTTCGGTTCAACAGGAACGTGGAAAAATCCGTTGGCCAAATCCAACGTTGTAATAATTCTAGCTCCTTGCAGTCTCTCCAACACATCATCATTAAGTGGCATTGGAAAATTGTCTCGCAGTATCTTTTCGTTTAATTTTCTAAAATCACAACACAACCGCTTGGTGGCATCCTTTTTTGGAACCAGGACAACGGGCGATGCATACTCAGAGTTGCTTTGCTGAACTATTCCATCTTTCGGCCATTTGTCCACCTGTTCGTCTATTACGCGTTGATCAGAGTACGAAACTCTACGCGGCGTTTAATAGATGGGCATATCATCAGATACGATAATTTGCATTTCAACTGGGGATTTAGAGTTCGGTACCGGCGTGTATTTCTCTACCATGGCAGTTACTATGTCGCGTTTATCTGAGGGCAAATGCGATAATTTCAATGGCGGATCGCCATTAATACTAACCAATTCATTTTCTAAACAAAGTGCTGTAAAATCTCTTAACAGTAAATTATGGGTTTCATCGGTTTTATTACCGGCGACTATTTGTGGTTTTTGTTTAAATTCAGCAGTGCCTTCCGAAAACGAGATATCTACCTTTTTCAGGATATCGTTTCCAAGCACAGCTTCATAGCGCAAGTCATTAGATTTAGTAACATGAAAAGTAACTTCTACTGTAACACTGTCTACGTTAATTTCCCTTGTTATACTACCTATTGTGTTCAATTCACTTTCTTTTATACCTACTAATCGTCGTTTCTCGCTACTCAATTCCGGATAGTTCAACTTTCGAAAAGTGTTATAGTTAATTAAACCCAAAACGGAGCCCGTATCAACCATAGCATCGACAACAACATTCTCCATTTGTATCCACTTAAAGATTAAACCACTGGCGTGATTCCTAGGTGAATTGAGCATGGTGTTAACTGTACCCTTTTCTGTTTTTATTTGTTTTCCTGAACCTCCCTTACACTCAAAACTGCGGTGTCCTACTTGACCGCACTTGAAACATTTATACTGTTTACTCGCGTTGCTACAATCTTTTGCCAGATGCGAGGTAGATGAGCACTTGTAACATTTTTTCGGCCCTTCTATACTACTTTGTGAGGTTGATGCCTTAGGTGTATTTTGACCATAGTGCGATCTGTTTGATGACAGTCGTGAATCATGAACCCTTTCGTAGACCTTCAGATTTTCTTTTAAATCTTTAATAGTTTGTGACTGATACAGTATAATTTTATTCGCTCTTGAATCGGGAATGCCCTCCACAAAATACCCAATTAAACTAACTTCATCTAATTTTATTGGCTTTGCTATTTCCATAAGAGTATACAAATACTCTTTGAAAGACTCACTGCTCTTTTTACGACGACTTTGCAACATTCTATGAATATCAAGCGAGGATAATTTTCTGCCAAACTCATCAATGACAGACGATTTTAATGAATTCCAGTCCTTCATACCAGCCTGACTGTGCAAGAATAGCTTGGCTGCCCATTTAAGTAGCTGTTTTGCGTACACATACTTTTGGAGTTCACTCCAACCTAATGTAATAGCGTTATCTTCGAACTCCTGTACCCTGTCATAAACGTCCAAAGTGTCGGTTCCAGTAAACGAGGGTAGGCTGTCTGAATGTCCTTTAAAGTAAAGTTAGGTCTCATCACTACGGTTTGTGGAGTACGATTGACTGCTTCTTCATAAGCTGATTCTCTTTCGCTTTCTTCACCGTTGCTCTGTAGGAGTTCATTATGCCGAAGAAGTCTGTTCCTGAGTTCACTCTTACGTCCTTGTACGCTTAACAGGCTAACCTAATATTCACGCACGCCGCCAATTTATTGTCAAAAATTTCTCATGCACATGCAACTTGTATGAGATCAACCGAAATTGAACGGCGTGCGTATGAAGCTAACTCAATTTCCAATTTTTGTTCTGCGTGAGATTTTGATTTGACGTTTCGCTCAATGAAATCAAATGCAAACGCATGCAAGTCAATTTCGGGTGACGCAAAAAAACAAATTCGACGGCATGCGTACCAAAACGCAAGCCGCGAATATTAGGTTAGCCTGTAAGTCAACCCGTCTCAAATTTTCTTTTAAAGTCTCTACTGTCATTGCTAAGATCGTCTGGGCGTCCATGGTCTACAGACTTATAAATATTAAGATTTAAATAGTTAAAGAATATGCAGTTCAATTAAAAGTATAATATAATAACATAATTATAAGTTTGTTAGAACAATCGTTGTTATAAATTATCTTTTAGTATGCAATTTTTAACGCTTGATTAGGTAGATAATATTAAAAAGTTAAAATGTAGTAGAATTGTATATTATTCAATCGGATTATCTTCACTTTGATAGTGGTAGATATTCTTTTTATATTTTAAAAGCTACGATTAGCATATATCATAGTTATGTAAATTTCAAGCTTGTGTACATGCGCTTGAGAATATTCAATTCAGTTCTCTTTGTTTGTTTTGATTACTGTATTCTAAACTTATGATTTTTAAAGTAATCTATTTTCCTCTTTACTCTTTCATATTGAAATTTGTACCTACTATTAATAGCAATGCTTTCTCTTCTCTCTTCTCTCGCTCTTCTATTTACTTCCAAATATTCTTAAACTTACAATCTGTTGGTACCACTTCCACTTTGTATTTTGTAGTTACTCGCCAGTCTTACTGCTTTCTGCTGACTATATTGTTATCCTCTTCTTACAATGTAGCGATGTTGCTTTTACTAGTTTCTCTTACTTTTCTCAGTATTCAATCAAATTAACTTCACTGTAACATTTTTATAAATGCTTATTTAATATTTTGAAAGTTGTTAGCATACATATATACGTATGTGTGTGCGTATAAAGTAGTTATTCAAATTACTTTCTAGTATACATGCACTTTAAAATAATTAATTCAATTCATCTTTGTTTGTTTTGATTACGATATTCTTAAAACTTTGATTTGCAAAGTAATCTGTTTTTCTATTTACTCTCACGAATTGACAACCTATGTATTTTTTTTATAGCAATGCTTCCGATTCTTTCTATTTCTAGATATTCCTATGCATACTTACAATCTATTGGTACCTCTTTAACTTTCTGTTTTGTGATTACTCGCCCTTCTTACTCCTTTCTGTTGACTCTATTGTTATTATCTTCTGTCTATAGCTGTGCGACTTTTGTTGCTTCAATTTTCGATGCTTCGGCTTTCGTTAATTTCATTTATAAATATTCTCCTCTTTACGGATTTCTGCTGTTTCTGTAGCTGTGCCCTTCTCGGTGTATAGCTGTGCTGCTTTCACTGCTTCGACTTTCGTTTGTTCAATTTTAGACTTTCGCTGCTTCAATTTTCGAAGCTTCGGCATTCTTTAAATTTGTTTATAACTCTTCTCCACTTTACGGATTTCTGCTGGTTCTGTAGCTGTGCTCTTCTCGGTGTATAGCTGCGCTGCTTTCACCGCTTCGACTTTCGTTTATTCAATTTTGGACTTTCGCTGCTTCAATTTTCGATGCTTCGGCTTTCGTTAAATTTGTTTATAACTCTTCTCCACTTTACGGATTCCTTCTGTCTCTGTAGCTGTGCCCTTCTCGGTATATAGCTCTGCTACTTTCACTGCTTCCACTCTCGTTAATTTTATACATTTTCTCCTCTTTACTGATTTCTGCGAACTCTGTAGCTTTACCCTTCTCAGTGTATAGCTGTGCGGCTTCCACTGCTTCGACTTTCGTTAATTTTATACATTTTCTCCTCTTTACTGATTTCTGCGATCCCTGTAGCTTTGCCCTTCTCAGTGTATAGCTGTGCGGTTTCCACTGCTTCGACTTTAGACTTTTCTCCCCTTTACAGATTTTTGTTGCGTTTGTACCCGTACTCTTCTAAGTCTGTAGCTGTGCGGCTTACACTCCTTTGTACGACTGTCATAACTTCTTATTATTTAAAATCACCACTTTCTCTCTTTCACGATTGCTAAACTTTTACATGTCTTTGATTTTTCGCTTTATATACAAAATTCAAACATCGTATGTAACGGTCTTTTCACGAAATTTGCACTTTGAGAAAATTATTTTCAGCTGCACTCTTCTTAGTCTATAGCTGTATGGGTTACACTTCTGGTTTTGGCTATCGTTACTACTTCAAACTCAAAATTCACTTCTTTCTTCTTTCATATCTTTGATATTCGGCTTTACAAAATTTAAACTTCGTATGTGGCTACGCGAGCACTGCAACACTTATATTTAATTTACACAATTTGTAGCTAGCTTACTAGTGTGCATTTCATTTTGAATTTGGTATCTTTTGAATTTGTACTTTGAACTACCTCTGGTGTACACCCTTTGTAAGCTTATCTTAGGAGTGGTTGGCAACGCATGCCCAACTCGCTCGCTACCAAATCGTGTATACTCATTTGTATGTATATATATGCTTTGCACCTTTTGACAGCTGTGTTATTACCTTTTATATACTCATTTTGTAAGCCTCAAAAAAGTTGCAGTGCTCGTGCGCGAATAAATTAAACTTAATCTTATATTGAATTAAAAAATTCTCACGCGCTTTAGAAACACCACATATTTTTCTCGTTTAATCCAGAAAAGATTTGCAGTGCTCGGGCACGAAGTATCTACGCAAAACCTTACGTATAAGTTGCAACTTGCGCTCGAATTGTTCGGAATAACTAAATTTTTCATTGGCTAAATCGTACCAATAAAGTATAATAAAACCATTAATAAACTGTTTGATTTCCGCCAATAAACTCCGTTTGTGTTGTGCAAGAGTGTTCCGGCGAACTACAGCCGCCAGTATCACAGATTTGAGGACACCAGGTCACCATCCGCTATATCGCCACCACAAAAACAGTGTCGTCAGTGCACCCGTCGTTCACCGCCGCCAAAGGCAGTTCATCCACCGATCACCGTCAAAGACAAGGTGGTGCCATCTCTCCAACTGCCGCCGCTGGCTAAAATTTGGAGACAGAATCCCACGAAGCGCTGCCATACACCAATTAGAGAAGCCCCACCGCCCTCAGCTTACAAGGAAGTCGAGTGCGCCTCCATTTGGTCCTTCTGCGCCAGCAGACCCCGAACCAGCAGCAAGTATTAGAAAAAGTCCCTTTGTAAACCGTAAGTAAGCCTATTAATTCTTAGTGCTACATACTTATTCCCACGGTAACTACACTATACAAACATACATATATCGCATTAAAGTACTTCAAAAAAAAGTAACCTAAAATTCGTAAAAATCTTATGCGCTTTTTTCCAAAAAAAAACGGCATCCTCAGTCCGTTAAAGAATTTTTTAGAACTTCGTGCATATATATGTATATTTCCAAGTTTTCGAGTAAATAAGTACCGAAAGCCAATATCCCGTATATCGAAAATACATACATATATGCATGTACATATGTACTGATTTCTCTTCCCGCCTATTTGTACATATTTTCCCGCTCAAGCGTTTTCATACATACAGTCCACACATATATATACATATCTACTTACAAGTACATAGGCAATTTTCTATTCCCTCTCCTCCCACACTCGCTTTTACTAAATCAAATATAATTTCTCATTGATATTTATGTATACAAACTTAAATTCCCCACAACGTTTGCTCGTAATAATACATAAATTCTACACATTTTCTCAGCAGTGTTTCCCTTGTTTAAAATAAAAGTTTCGATTTCACGACAACAAAGGTGCACAAGTATTACAAAGCGACATATAAACACACATATATAAACACATAGGCATACTTATATACACACAATCCCATACATATCTACATATAAAAAGTGCGATACAGTGGTCGGTTTGCAGTGCAATAAAGTTAATAAATAAAAGCTGACGGCGCTTATATACAAATACCATTGTTACAGTCCCGTGAATTAAATTTGCATTTCACCAAAAGTAATTAAAGCGCATTCTCGTTCTTCTACTGTGTGGTCCTCTTATATATACATATAATTGTGGTTACAGTCGCGTGAAAAACAAAAAAAAAAAACTTGCATCTACATAAACTAAAATTTTCTCGTACTCTTTCATTCGTTGAGCAAGTTTCTCGAAATAACTCTATTCTCAAAAAACGGGTAAATAAATAAATTAGTCAATAAATTAAATCTCTATTTTTCTCTAATTCGCGACCGAGCACTGACATAATCGCAAAACTGACACATTTAATTATTTATTCACTCATATTATATCACTGTATATTTACTTCTCTGGCATTCCTTTAAAAAGGAATTGCATTAAATTCTCTGGCATTCCTTTAAAAAGGAATTGCATTAAATTCTCTGGCATTCCCTTAAAAAGGAATTGAATTAAATTCTCTGGCATTCCTGTAAGAGGAATTGCAGTTACTTAGAAAAAATAAAATAAATTAAATTTAAATTATAATAAATTTAAATCTCCCTCAGGCATCTCTTTCTCTCAGTCTCTCAACCCTAGTCCTTTCAGACTAAATTATAAATTTTCTCGGCCAAATTCCCACAATGAGTGATGATGAGAAAACCGTCTCAACCGAGACTCAACGCTCGACCCGAAAAAACGCGAAAAAAGCAGAAACAGGTAGCTTCCATTAAGTTTATTGCAGAGACTGATAATCGATTATTGCAGAGACTGATAGTCGATTACTGTTCAAGATTCAAATCTCTACCTCTCGAAAATAACTCAGAATCAAGCCTGAAAATAAAAGATATGAGATTAGACAATTTTTGGAATCGAGTTCAAAACTCTTACGATGTAGTTGTAGAGGCAGACGAGCAAGACCTTCCCGAGGATTTCAAAGCAAGTGCTTTTCGCAAATATCGGTCTTGTCTCGATCAATATGAAGACACTAAAGCTCAAATCGCTGACCAGCTCCATCTTCATAAGCAAGTGAGCAATCCCATGCCTACTCCCTCTACGTCACAACCCAAACGCCAGTCTGGCCTCGGCTTAACCGTCCCTCCTTGTGACACCGAAGTATTTTACGGAAGTTATGAACAATGGCCATCTTTCCGGGATATGTTCACAGCGGTATATATAAATCACCCTGAACTCACCCAAGGCCAAAAGTTGTACCATCTCAGGTACAAAACTCAAGGTAAAGCCAATCAAATAGTAAAGCAATTTTCTCTCTGTGATGAAAGCTTTAATCTCGCATGGGAAGCACTTCGATCTCGATATGAGAATAAGCGTATTCTGGTAGACAACCAAATACGAATCTTAATGAACCTCAAACCCATTCCCACCGAAAGCAGCGAAGACATACAAAGGCTGCAGTCTTCAGTAAACAACTGCCTTCAAATTCTCGCAACTCAGCAAGTCTCAACCGAAAATTGGGACCCCATCCTCATCTATATAGTAACCTCTAAGCTTCCTGAAACTACAGTATCCCTGTGGGAACAATCCCTCAGCTCGAGGAAAGACCTTCCCAACTGGTCCCAAATGGACCAGTTCCTCACTACTCGTTATGAAGTAGCCGAAAGAGTTGATCAATGGCGCCTGCCGAAGACGAGACTTTCTGGTCAGCCCAATAGCCCCTCAAAGCCCCCTTTCTCGCATAACAAACCACCTTTTAAATCCCCTCTCTCTCAAAGCTTTCAAAACAGAGCAATGTCACAAATACAATCTCACGTGACAGAGCAGCGAATAATGCACAAATGTTCGATGTGTAAGAACTCCTCTCATTCGCTGTGGAACTGCTTCAAATTCCGAAAGTTGTCAATCCCTGATCGCAAGAAGTTCGTAAGAGAAAATAATATGTGCTTCAATTGTCTATCTCAGTCACACTCGTTGAAAGATTGCCCTAGCACCCAAACTTGTAGCCATTGTAATGAACGGCACAACTCAGTGCTCCTTGAAGCCACAAACTCCATGCCGAAAAGGCAACCCCCAAGAGTGCAAAAAACCAACTCACAACTGGCAACCACAACCTCCACAAACTTAAGTGCCCAAACTTCAACTCAAACAGACGCTGACGAACAAGAAGCCTCAGGTACGCAGGTGCAATCATTCTACTCAGAGAATGAGAGCAGAATACTCCTCCCTACAGCTATGGTACCGATATCACACCGAGGAGAAATATTTAAACTCAGAGCTCTCATAGACCAGGGGTCAGAACGAAGCTTTGTCTCCACCAAAGCTCAGCATAAGCTAGGGCTGCCCTGCAAATCCTCAAAATTTTAAATCTCGGGCATGGGTGGAAGAGTTGTTCAAACTTCGAACAAATTATGCTCTTTAGTCTTGGTCTCCGCCGATCTCCAAACTCAAATAAATGCCCAAGCTATCGTGTTACCACAGCTGACAAAAATGCTCCCCAAGTTCCCACTTAATCATGACCACAAAGAAAAATGGTCTCATCTGAAACTGGCAGATCCAAACTGCCACTCCCCAGCCCAGATTGACCTCGTGTTAGGCAGTGATATCATCCCTCAAATAATCGAGGAGGGCATTGAAAAAATCTCACCAACTCTGCTAGCTCAAAAGATAATATTTGGTTGGATACTTAGTGGTCAGATTTACGAAAACATAGCTTCATACTCTACACAAATAGAGGAAATTTCTAATGAGCACCTCAACTCACAATTGAACTGATGGTCGCTATGTGGTCAGGCTTCCGTTCAAGAAAAGTTTCCCCAAAGAAATCTCTTTAGGTTACTCTCGCTCCTCAGCGCTTCAGCAATTTCTCGGAATGGAGAGAAACCTCCTCAAAAAGGGCGATTTAAAGGCCTCATATGATAATGTCCTGGAAGAATATCTCACCCTAAACCACATGGAAAAAACTATGTCCCAAGAAAAACTCCTCTCAGGCAAGTACATGTCGTTCTACCTCCCTCACCATGCGGTCATAAAGCCCGAAAAACGAACAACAAAAGTACGAGTTGTCTTTAACGCATCAAAGATTTCGGGGTCCGGTTACTCTCTTAACGATGTATTATATACCGGACCAACTCTCCAGCCTGATTTAATGCTTCTCATCCTCAAGTGGCGAATGTATAAATTTGTATTTAATGGTGATGTCGAAAAGATATACCGACAAATACTGCTACATCCCGAACACCAGGACTTTCAAAGAATAATCTTTCGCTCACCCACGACCAGTCCCATTCAAGATTATAAATTAAAAACGGTCACATTCGGTGTAAACTGTGTGCCCTACCTCGCCATTCGCATACTTCACCAAGTAGCACAAGATGAAAAAACCAACTACCCAATGGCAGCCCCCATTCTGAAGAAAGAAACGTATGTGGATGACATACTCTCTGGTAGCCACGATCTGGCAATCGCCACTCAGTCTCTCACCCAAGTCATCCAGGCTCTAAACTCAGCAGGCTTTCCCTTGAAGAAAATAACAGCGAACCACCCAGACATTCTCAAAAATATGAGAAAAGAGGACTTGCTCGATACTAATTTTCTCGAGTTCGAAAAAGCAAGTACCACAAAGACTCTAGGGATCCAATGGAATGCGCTCACAGACACGTTTTCCTATACGATCGACTCCATCCCAGCCTCATCTGCAAGCACTAAGCGACAGATTCTCTCCTCTGTCGCGAAACTTTTTGACCCCGCAGGGTGGCTTACGCCGATAATGATCCAGGCAAAGATTCTCTTACAAGAGCTCTGGATCGACGGAACTGACTGGGACGAGAAAGTCAAACCCCTCCGTCTTGTTAAATGGTCTCAGTTCGCAGCCAATCTCCATACAATCTCGACCATTCAAATTCCACGATGGGTAAATTTTATTCCTGACCAGCATGTTGAACTCCATGGATTCTGTGACGCCTCAGAAAAGGCATATTGTGCCAACGTATATGTTCGAACTACTCATGGTTCCAGTACCTCTTCCCATCTTCTGGTTTCCAAAGGCAAGGTAGCACCCCTTCGGACAACTAGTTAACCCCGGCTCGAGCTCTGCGGTGCTCTTCTCTTAGCCAAACTGGTCGCAGCGGTCCAGTCCCATCTCGACCTCTCTCAAAGAAAACTGGTACTATGGTCGGACTCTGAAATAGTATTGGCCTGGCTGGAAAAACCACCTCACTCTTGGAAGACGTTCGTCTCGAATCGAACCGCGGAGATCTTGGAACTCGTCGGAAGCGCCACCTGGCGGCATGTACGCAGCAGCGACAACCCCGCAGATATGGGCACAAGGGGTTGCAGGCCACTAGACCTAGCAGCGTCTTCGTTATGGTGGAACGGTCCTGATTGGCTATCCAAGCCCCCCGAAGAATGGCCAAAACCCCCAGTTCGAAATGTCAACCCGCCGGAAGTGCGAAGAGTGGAGGCACTACTCACCACCGAAGGAGATCCCGACGTTCTGGACAGGTTTTCCTCTTTCTCTCGAGCCTTGAGAGTGATGGCCTACGTCTTCAAGTTCATCAGACGACTAAAGGACAAAGCGCCAGGAGCTCATGACCGCGCATCATCCCCGCTATCACATGATGATCTCTGCTGCGCGAAAATCCGCCTGATTATAACCACGCAAACCCGTAATTTCTCCCATGAAAGGGCCCGCTTGGAAGACTCCAAACCCATTGACAAAAAGAGTTCACTATTAGTTCTTAACCCCTTCTTGGATAAAAATGGAGTTCTCCGCATCAATGGACGCCTTGCTCATGCTACCTTGAGCTATAACGAACGTCACCCCATTATAATTCCGGAAAAGACCCGATTCGCATTCCTCTATCTAAAATTTCTCCATGATCTACTCCTCCATGCAGAAGTACGACTTATGCAGCAGGTGACCAGGCAAGAATTTTACATTCCCCGGCTCAAGCCCCTCATCAAAAAATGCATTTATCAATGTAAATCCTGCACCATTCACAAACAGCAAATGCGCTCGCAGATTATGGCTGCCCTGCCGCCCGAACGATGCACCTTCGCTCCGCCCTTCACCACCACCGGTGTTGATTTTGCTGGGCCTTTTCAAATAAAAGCCTCCATGCTAAGATCTCCCACTTTAGTGAAAGGCTATGTGGCCGTCTTTGTGTGCTTCACAACAAAGGCGGTACACCTCGAGCTGTGCTCAGACCTGACCAAAGAGGCCTTACTCGCCGCCTTTGCTCGTTTTGTTGGTTGCCGTGGTTACCCCGCTAAAATGATGAGTGACAATGGCAAAACTTTTATAGGAGGCAAAAGAGCCACTGAACAGGAGTTCTCTGTCTTCCTCCAAACTGCATCCCGTGATATTGTCCAAAAATACTCACCCCAGGGTATTAATTGGCAATTTATACCTCCCAGCGCCCCGCACTTGGGTGGCTTATGGGAGTCTGCCGTTAAAAGTTTTAAACTTCACTTCAAAAGGACTGCCAGGCCCCATAAATTTACGTTTGAGGAGTTTACTACCCTTTTAATAAGAGTAGAAGCTGTATTAAATTCTCGTCCCATATCCCCACTCACCCAAGACCCGACGGACTTTACAGCGCTCTCACCTGGCCACTTTCTCCGGGGTGCTCCCCTCCTATCATTCCCCGAATCTAATCGCGAAAACCTCTCGCTCATTAATAGAGTGGAAAAACTCAAGGTTTTACACCACCAATTCGCAAATCGATGGAAGGAAGACTACCTTAAAGACCTACATTAGCGACACAGGTGGAAGAACGCTCAAGTAGAACCCAGAATCGGAGAATGCGTAGTCATTAATGATGACACACTCCCGCCCATGGAGTGGCGCCTGGGCCGCATCGAAAGGTTGCACCCTGGCAAGGATGGACACATTCGTGTGGTCGACGTCCGCACACAAACAGGCCTACTCACTCGGCCATTAGTAAAATTAGTATTTTTGCCTTCGAGCGAAGACACCCCCTCTCGCATTGAAACCGATTAGCACTCCATAAACTCCTCACTTGAATAAGCAGCCAAATGGCTGCACATCGTGTTTCACACACCACACATACATACACACTTTCGTATCTCTCTCCTATGCCTCCCATATATTAATATACGAAACACTAAAAATTTCCGTATATAAACTTTTTCCAGATGGATCACGATGAGGCACCTCAGCCAGCACCGCGAACGTTCCTAAAGTCGCAGATTGGAACCACCCACAGCATACGTTCAGCGAATCATCCCACGGAGGATTATAAGCGGTGCCGATTGTGCGCCGGTCATCATGCGCTCCGAGTATGTCCAGCGTTCTTAGGCGTACAGCCACAGCAGCGCTTCTTACTGGCAAGGGCGCACAAGTACTGCACGAACTGCCTGGCGCTTTCGCATCCGACCGCCCAGTGCACGTCCACTACCACCTGCCGCACTTGCTCCCTACAGCATCATACACTACTGCACCGGAATGGTACACCGGCAGCCCGCCGCACGAGGGCGAACTCCGCAGTTCAGCCCCCTAAACGCCTCGACCAGACAAACAAAAACGCTCCCCAACGTGGGGGATCAGGGCGTACATCACCGCCCTACAACCACACCCGACACCATCCCACCAGAGGGAACCGTAAAGTGCGCTTCACGGGGAAGGGATTCCAAACTGCTGGCTATCGTAGCAAGGCTACCAAAATTTTGGTTCACGAGGCAATGAGGGCTCTACGGGAGCTGAAGGATGCACTAGCCGCTTAACGCGGCCAGGGCCGGGAGGATGGCTACGCGAGCACTGCAACACTTATATTTAATTAACACAATTTGTAGCTAGCTTACTAGTGTGCATTTCATTTTGAATTTTGTATCTCTTGAATTTTGTATCTTTTGAATTTGTACTTTGAACTACCTCTGGTGTGCACCCTTTGTAAGCTTATCTTAGGAGTGGTTGGCAACGCATGCCCAACTCGCTCGCTACCAAATCGCTGTATACTCATTTGTATGTATATATATGCTTTGCATCTTTTGACAGCTGTGTTATTACCTTTTATATACTCATTTTGTAAGCC